GAATACATTACACGCAAGTAGCACGAGTCAGCTAATAATCGGCCTCTAACCGTGCGCGCCGTGTTTTCAGCGGATAATGCTGCCGCCTTGCAATTAAATCGACCGGAATTCTCGTGACCTGACGCTCTAACCCTCGCTCGAACTTTGTTATACATTTTTCTTCGTATTCGTCAATCCCGCGTCAATGTATTCAAAACAATATTATTAATCTCTGCAATCAACCCCTTGCTTAATCATTCTATTCGCGTCTGCAAGAGTTAGATTATTAATATTATTCAATGAAATATCACACGAAAAATCGACGTATCATAAGAACTACAAAATCGTAAAATTACTTCATTTAATATAGACCAACGAGCATTACAAGATATCTCTGACGAAATTCGATAGAAGCTATTCGCAATATTAAAGAACGAAGCGTCACCAGGCAAGGGGTTAATCACAGTGCACAAAGATGGATCGACAAACGAAAAAAGGAACGATCTGCCACCGTCGTCAGTGAAACTATCGAAAAGCCATCGAACGATTCTCTCGAGCGTCGCGCTAACGGGGCGGCGCCATCTTGATGCACCCTTCTACAAATGCAATTTCGCTATCGCGGAAGACGTCTCCCGCAGCCGTTTAACGAGCGGATCTCGTGTGCGGTTAACACCGAGCTGTGAACAGAAATCGAGGAACAAAAGGGGAGAGGAACGGGAGTCGAAACGTGGTAACCAAAGCGAGAACAGAACGAAGAAAGGATCGTCTCGCTGGATCGAACGGCACGCACCGTGCCTCGTCCTTTCAAACCGTTAGGGGAAACCGTACGAAACGTTGCTGCATGGAAAAAGTGAATATTTTTCTATACAATGATCTCGCGAACTTGCGCCGGCGGTCGCGAACGTGTTAATTTTCAATGGAAATCGAGCGGAAGGTTTTCTTTCGTCCAACGTGCTCTACCTTAATCTCCGAAGATAATTGACAATGAATATTTCAAGTCTCTCGGCTCCTGTCTTTCGCCAGTGCGTTTGATAGGCTTGCCTGCAACCACGGCGGAGGTCGATCTGTCTAGTCGGACCTTGCCAACGATCGTTTCTCTTGGCGAGGATATATTCGGGATTCACAATTGCATCGCGTTCGACGTCAATGCAACGGCTTTCTTGCGCAAGCTCGAAGAGGATCCTTTTACCGGATGATCCATATTTCATTGGGCCGAGTAACGAGTTCGTTTTCAAGCTGTTCGTTTGTTCATGTCGTTCCCCGAGCACTTTTTCCTTCAGTTTCCATGGTTCTCGATATCTTCAACGGGCCACGGAAGATTTGAATATAGCGATAATTGTGTATCGCACCTTTGTCGACGCTGCTAAAAAGTTGACGTTGGAAAGTTAGCTTCCCGTGCTTCGATAATGAAAGAACTTTTTGTGGGAACGTGTTCCGAAAGTTCCTCGGTCCCTTTAGAACGGAGTACGGATTCATTCGGAGGATTGAAATTGTTTTTCGTTTTTAATGCGAGTCTCGATAATGGCTCTCCAGAATTTTAGCCGAATCACTCGGCCCAATGAAAGGATCATTCCGTGGTTTAGAGGACAATGTCGGAGTTCAAGGCGTGCGGATGGTTTTAATGCAATTGCGGGAACTCTAATTGCTGAAGAACAGAATGGTATCAATTTCAATCCGTTTGCCATTCGAATCAATGAAGAAATAGCTGCAAAATTCTGTCGAGGTATTAAACGAAGGAATTAAATAGAAGCGATACCATTGTGTTTCTTAGTAATCAGAGACACTCGTCGATGCATGGAAACCACTCGACGCTCTTGATAACAATGGAAACTCCAATACTCAACACGGTCCTCTCGAATTTTCAAGAATCATCCGGTTTCTCAGAAGATTCACGATCATCGCACCGACTCGCTGTTCATCCGATCTAACGACCAGACAGCGGATGTTAGTTTTGCTTCGTAACCGGTTATTCTAAGGAGATGGAGTTTTATCGAAGTTTCCGTTCCTTCGAACTGCTCCTGTGGAGACGTGGAAAATCACCGTGAACATCCGCAGTCCGTCGATGACTCGATGGAACTCGTTCTCGCGTGTACCGGATTGCGAACGTACTCCGGGTATGATTCAATGAAGGATGGACGACAGGAGAAACAGAGACAGACAGACAGACAGACAGTGAGAGGGAGAGGGAAAGAGAGAAATAGAGAGATAGTGAAAGATGGCGAGAGAAAGAGAGTGACAGAGTAGGCGGAAGGGACGGGCGACGCGGATGTAGAGATAAAGATGAACGGGTAATGGAACGGGACAGGTCGTCTCGGGTTTAACATACATCTGTGGCATGCAGTCATAGAGAAGAAAACAGGTATGCGTGATACACGGGCGAGAAGAAGACACGTGTTCGGTAACAGTGATTCTCTGTCATCCGCGAATGTGCGCAGAGCGTTCCATCGCGACGATCCCGCGTGCAAAATCAAAGAGGGAATTTAAATATCGAAGCTTCCGAGTCTCGGAGATTGGACTTTTAAATGGAAATTCGAATTTCTGCTCGAATGCGATGCTAGGAATTGACATTCAACGGTGGAGACGGAATTTATGAGTTCAAACGATGTTAAAGTGAACTGAAGATTGATATTCTTTTAGTTCTAGATTACTGATTTACGTTCTGTTCAGTATCTTTTTAATGTTGTACGAAAGTTGCAAGGGAAATGTGTGTTTTGGTACTTCTTCGAATTAATGGTGGAAAGAGAGATAAGGGACAATGTGAATTAAAGCAGTAGTTTGATTTTGGTGATCTAGAGTTGAGGACAGTGTCTGGCCATTGTCGGATATTTCTACTTCTGGAAATCGTTAGGTAATAATTTAACTTTCGAAATATTCTGATACTATCAATTTAGAAATGCCTGAACACAATGCTCTAATGATAAGCAACAGCCAAACGAGAAATGAATAAACATATAATTTCCTAAGAAATTAGGGACTAATTAAAAAACACGACTTAGTCCCAAAAATAATCCCCAATAACGAAGCATCTAAATATCACTCAAAGACTAAACACAATGGAATCTCTCTCGATTGCATCACAGCTTACCAGGCGCTCGGTGAATAAGTAGAAACATCGAGCGATGGTCAGACACAGCATCAAAGGACCCACGCGCTAAACGACCCTCGAAACTCGGCTTTTTCAAAGAAATCTCCTTCAGTAGCCCCTCTTCTCTTTTGCCCGTAGAATTGCCCGCTTTTCAGCGGTTTCACGATATCTCGAACGCTCTGTATACAAGGTCGCTCTCCGGAAGAGAAGAGCCCGGGAGGGGGTGGGCAGGAAAAGGAAACGAAGGAC